TTAGCCAAATTTAAGATAATAAAATATAACATTGCGTTAGAATTGCATCCTTTAATGAACACACAAAGTACTTGGTGCTAGTAGGCCATCAGAGCTAGCTATTGAATGCACGCTGTTCTTAGGCTACGAGCTAGTACTCGAACTAGCATCTACGGATGAGGCTCTTGACTCCTTGGGGTTCGTTCCTGCAGGCAACGCAGAGAGGATGAGAGCCCACGAAAACATGCACGCCATGTCTTTTTCCTCATATGTTACGTGCCGGACCTCGGCGTCGAGATGCATAGCGCCGAGACCAGCGCCATAATTCCCGACCCGTGTTACCTCGACGCCTTTTGTCGCGGCGCCGAGCTCCGGGTCCAGAAACGAAAATAATCGCTCAAGAGGCTAGATGCGAAAATTTAAAAAAAAACTAAAAAATAAAAAATTTGGTACAATTCTGTTAAAAAAGATTACTCCCTCCGTCCTCCCTCCGTCCCAGATTAATTGACGTCCGGGGTTGAAGTGGAAAACTTAGTACGGCTGTGAAATTACCATACTACCCCTATAAAGAAGAGCTGTCAACTACCAAGGGGTCGTTTGGATCACGGGATTTCTATAGGAAAAATGAAGGAAATAAAAACGTAGGAAAGAAAGATGAGCAGGGTGTTTGGATCAAATGAATCGGACATACCATTTCCTCTAAAAAACTGTAGCGGCAACAAGATTTCACACAAAAATAAACATCCGCTCCCACCTTTGGTTTTTGTTTCCTGCGCTGAAGCCCGAGGCAGCCATGCCATTCAACTCATCTGAGTGGAGTAGATTAGTTATTTGTAGCCTGTACAGTATGAATCGTGGAGGTTAGATATAGTAATTAGTACCCATATTTGCCTAACATGTTACAATTCCTATGTTATAAATTCCTGTGTTCCAAACAGCCTAAATTTTCTGTTCCTATGTTTTAAAATCCCGTAGTTTTTCACTTTTCATCATACCTTATTCTTGTGTTTTTTCCTATTTCTACGTTTTGAATTTGTTCGTTCCAAACAAGCCCTGAATAGGCAGAACATGATTACTCCGTGGCGGCAACGAGTGGACGAGAGCAATCTAGAGAGCCCCATCGGGTTTTTTTTTTAATATACCATGGTTGCACTCGGTCCACGGAAATAGCAAATAAAATAATATGTACTCCGTACTCCGTACTCTGGGACGGGCTGCATGCGTCCGGCAGGTTCAAGGCTTCAGGCCTATGCGACCGATTAATGTTGGAAAAATTTTGAACGCGAGATGTCCAATTAATCTGGGACGGAGGGAGTAAGCCTTATTCAAAAAAGGAAAAAAAAAACTCATGCATCCGTACGAGTTTCATGGCGTGATGACATCTACAAATTCCCATTCCTATGGAAGCGCATGCGTGGCCGGTTGCTATCAGAGCCCTGACCTTTTCCTCCGGGCTCGCGGAAATGCATTCCTTCAATCCATCCATCGGTGCCTCCTGTACACGCAAGCTGCCTAGCTTGGCTGCCCAAGTGCCCAAGACCAAGAGGGACACCCCAAATTATCAGCCAACCGCAATTTGGAGAGAAGGGATTGCTGGAAAGGAATTGCTCGTTTGTTGTTGTTGCACGTCTGATGACTACCTCCTTCGTCTTGAGATACAATGATTTTTCGGTCATCCGCAATCAAACCATCTAAGCTTAACCAAATTTGCTGAAAAAAGTCTCAACATCTATCAGATAATAAAAGTGGTAAATTAAACTTGGTCAAGCTTAGAATAATTTGGCTTAGGAGTTAGGACAACTGCAAAAAACCGAGTATATTCTAGGTTAGAGGGAGTAGCTGTGCAGATACTCTAAGCAGGAAATTTTCTAGCGTAAGAATTATAAGAGGCCATTCATTAACTAAAATATCTTAAGTTATCAGTACACTTTGTATCTTCTCATTTTGGATATCAACCCGGTTCACAAATACTAGTTTTACTACTAATATTTTGTTATGATATATTTGTAATCAATGTATTAAATATCAGGCTAAACTATATATAAACTATAGCAGGATATAACGACGTCTATTTTATTTAACCGTTTTTACATAAAACATGAAGATTCTTAATTAATAATTAATTATGAAGACATGGAACTAATTAATTTCATGAAAATAAATACTCAAATCAATGGCGAGAACCAGCTATTTTGATTAAGGGGGCGGAAAAATATGATGACATCTTTAAGTGTGATAAAATATACACAAGTGTATCTCTCAACAACTTTTTATATATTTGTACACTATTTTAATAAAAAATGAGTGAATAGTTACTTTGTTGTGATGTAAATTCAAATATTTATAGGGGTATTAAACAAAATCTAAAGTGCTGGGGGAGGGCCCTGGCCCTCCCTGGTTCCGCCGCTGACTCAAATACAAGTTTGGGTCCTTTTCGTCACTTCACATTTGTTCAGTCAATCAACATACTCGTGAATATAACCAACACTCAACAGTAAACAAACTAATTAACTATTCAATGATTCAATACACCATGCGTTAAGTAAAAAACAGAATGGATAGGCATATAATGTAGTTATCTATTGTAGTGAGTGAATATTTGTCTCGGTCATAGAGGCGCTAAATAAACTCATGGCTAAATAGCAGTGTTTAGCGATGCTAAAGTTTTCTCAGCTATAATAGTGAAAACAATTGGCAATATTGGCATGCCTTTAAAGAAGGTACAGGGACCTATGTAACATCCCGTCTAAATGGGCCGAATTCCGGTTGGGGCGAGGCACTGTAACTGCACACGTGGGCTATAGTCCAAGCTATTGCTGCGGCTGTAGCCGCCGAGGTGGGCCGGGCCAAAATAGGTACCGTAGCGGCGCAGAACTTTTGCTCAGTCATTGTTCACGTGAGCACTGTAGCATCGAGAAACACTGTGCAACCAGCCTCTAGTCCACGGCGAGACTGACTTAAATATTCAGGCCAAGGACGCGTTGCGGTTAAACGTTTTGCGCGAAGCGAAAATGAAAGCGCAAGCGGGTTGCTACGTAGGTGGGGCCCACCCCTCGATAGAGTGGGCCTGTACCGTGTGCCGGGCCTGGGGTGTTACAAATTATGTGAGACCTCGCTAAATAGGCCAAGTTGGGTCGGTCGGGGAGGCTGGGCCGAACGGTCAATACTGTAGCTGCAGGGGGGTGTCGGTACTGTAGCAACGGAACACTGTAGATGCGGCTTTAGTCCAGTGCCAGAACCCGAGCCTAGAGGGAATATGTCACTTTCGTCATCGCTTCGCGCAAAAGGTTTGAACCAGAGTTTATTCTCTCCCAGGCTTAGGCTTTTAAGTTGGTTCAGTTTTCCCTCAGGTTCCGGTATGGGACTACAGCCGTAGATACAGTACGTCAGCCATAGCTACAGTACTCGGCCGTTCGGCCCAGCCCACCAGACCGGTCCAACTTGGCCCATTTAGCGGGGACTCACATACACCCACCCTTTAGGACTCGATGTCCTCGTCGAGAGCCGAACCAACCTACCCAAACGGGACAAATGTCCAAGATCGACTCTCTTGGTCCACGTCCATATTTCTAGCTTCCCGGCCCAAGTGCCATGCTCTTGCAGAGGCATGCGCAACCGGCCCAAGTGTCATGCTTTTGCAGAGCCATGCGCAACCTGTCTGAGCTCCCGAGCCATATGTCCGTGAAACCGTAAAAGTTGGCTCTTAATACCATTTGTAACGCCCCAGCCCGAGAATACGACTAAGATCCACTAACACGTTGATTGGACCACACCTGCTAATTAACTCTCTTACGCTCTCGTCCTCGCTTCGCGCAAAAAATTCGAAACGGAGTTTATTCTTTCCTAGGCTCAGGCTTTTAAGTCGGTTCAGTTTCCCCTCAGGTTCCGGGATGGGACTAAAGTCCCGTAGCTACAGTGTTCCGCTGCTACACTACCGGCAACTGGAGCTACAGTGCTCGACCATTCGGCGCAGCCCACCAGACCGGCCCAACTTGGCCCATTTAGCGGGGTCTCACAATATCTGAAACAAATGTATTTGTATTAGTTTTAGCAACCCGCTCGAAAAAGAAGACTCCTGAAATCTTGAATTCGAAACTGTTGACTTAATTAAGACCACAAAAATGAAATGATTTATGTAGGAGGGAGTAGCCAATCAAGAGTAGTTGTGCCATTTGAGTGTAGCTCAACTGGCTAGATTTTTTTGGTGGAACTACATAACATGTTCACCTGGATTCAAGTGCCCGACTTGATACGGGAGCTCATATTTTTCTATATTTATTCTAGGATATAACATTACTTTTTTCACATGTAGAAGTCGTGCTTGTTGGCACCGATGTTTATATATATATGATGATTTGTCGATCTTAAAATCTTCCGCACGTTTTTTTTTGAGGCGCTTACTGAAGTGAAGTGTGTGTATGCGTTCATATGAATAAGGGCGTATATACGTGTGAGCATATGTATTGTGTTTTGGGGAAAAAAAAGATCATGCCTAGTTGTTTGCCACTTTGCCTTTCGGGCAATCATTGCCTAGTTGTTTGCCACTTTATTCTTTCAGGCAAATGCTTTTGGAAAGTGACTAGGCTTACGTGTTTTCACGCAGCTGATTTTTTTTCTATTCTTTCCAAGGACCAACAATAGTCTACTACAGAGTTCAAACAGTTCATGGAAAGTGAAACCAGCTGCTTACGTGTTTTCACGCAGCTGAATTTTTTTTTCCTCGTCTTATGATTAGCCGAAATGCTAACAAACTTGCAGCGCTACAATATACAACATTTATGCAGTACAATAGCAGCTGGCATTTTAATTATTCTTTTCAACTTTCACCCCCTCATCAGTTTCTTAGCTAGCTATGTACAATTGTACATTAAATTTTACATTTTACATGAGCTAGCAAATTATCACACGAATCAACCGAGTGAACAGTTCGTCATCTTCTTCTACCCTTCTGGCTTCTGCTACGGGTGCTTGGCTTGCTGCAAACTTGTCGATCCATGCGACGCCAAACATATACTGCATGTTCATTCCTCGATGAATCTGGTCATCTTGAGCACGAGGTTCCTGACATCGCGGAGGTCCCGCCCTTTGAGCGTCCTCCCTTTGCCGGCGCACATGGAGTACGCCGCCGTCCGGCCACCCACCACCAGCCTCCTCCGTGCAAGAAGAACGTGCGGCGGCACGATCACCAAACCGTCGCTAGTAGTCCCTTTCGCATCGTCGGTACGACGACCTTCTTCATCGTCGTCGGCGTCGTCGGTTTCTTGATCAAACGTGGTGGTGTAATACTCCGACGCCGGCCTGGGGCGGCACCGCCGCTTCCGGCGAGACATCTCGACCGGAGCGGTGGCGGCTGGCCGCGGCGCGGCCGCCTCGGGATGAACTGAACAAGGAATAGGCTCCGCCTCGCCGCCGTTGCCACGGTCGTCGGAGCCGGCTGCAGGCCATAGGATTTCAGCTTCTTCGAATTCCTCCATGATATGATACGATACGATACGATGATGGCCTCGCCGTCGAGGACGGGCAGGGATGGACGTCCATGGCTGGCTGAATATATAGCGGTGTGCTTTGGAAGGAGACGGTGGCGTGTCTTGGCGAGCAAGCGGGCAAGCACTCTTCCTTGGGTGGGAAGACTACTGCAATGGCCTTAGCGGGTACTGTGTTGGGTATACGCGACAAGGAAGGAAGGAGAGAAGGGGCCGGTTGATTTGGAGTGCGGTGCACCCCCTCTCGTGAGCTGCCACCTGGTATCTGCGGATGCTCCTCGCTGCCAGTTGGTTTGATGCTCGTGTATTGTGAAGAAGAGAGATCAAAATATCGTGCAGAACTCTGATTAGCAGCAGCACACAGTATCAACTCAGCTTGACAGAATTGTCACACGGCACTACTACTATTTATTGCTAGTATTTACAGATGATTAATTGTGTGCCGGAGCCGTCAAGAGAAAGGTAATAAGAGTCGTCTGGTTCAAATAATCCAACGCCCAACAAATCGGTAGCCTACTGATTTCCATTTAAATTGACCGTGAGTACAAATCGAGCTACTACGCGGTACACCACAAATCCACCGTGCACGTGCGGCGACGTCACCCTTCAATGAAGCCGGTCATCCGGAGCACGTAGTCGCGGAGGTGGCGCAGGTCGCGCGCCCGCTTGCACGGCGGGCCGACGGACGCCCGCACCGTCCACGCCGCCGCCTCTGCCTCCTCCGACCGCCGCCAGCCGCCGGCCGACAGCAGCAAGTGTGGCGGAACGATCGCGCTGCCGTTGTCGTCGTCATGGTCACCGCTGTCGTCCCTCGGCCTGCTACAGCGCCAGGTGCGGGCAGCCTTGGGGCCGGGAACGTCCACGGGCCGAGAGCGCGCTGCAGACGCGTCGGATGGCTGCGCCGGCTGCACTGGCAAAGGTGACAGGCTCGGCGGCGGCGGCGGCGGCTCGTGCGTGTGGCAGGTCTCCGGCTCCGGCCACAGCACCTCGAACTCGTCGAGCTCTTCCATTGCCATGGCAGAGATGGCGGAAGGGTAGAGGCCGAGAGCACCGAGCGAGTGCGGCAAGAGCCGTACTTATACCGCGAAATTAAACCCCCAACGGGGTGGATCGGCGACTGCTAATTTGCTAGCCGTGTCTCGCGTCTTAAGCTTGGAATCGCGACGGATTTCGGCGAGAGCGACCGTGATGCTGGCAGGGTGAACTCCGCACGCCTAGCGAAAGGGACGGCGGCGAGCGGGGCTGATCCCGTTGGCGCCATACCCCCGCGGACGCCGGACGCGGCGCCGGGAGAACACGCGTTTCCCAGCGAAGCAGTCTACACGCCAACGCGCAACGGTGCTGATGATGCGCACAGCGCACGCCGTGTTGCCGCGTCGGAAAGGAACCCATCCTATTTGGTGGTTTGCGTATGCAAAGCACTGCGGTCACGTCTGAGATGCATGCAACAACGGTTCCATCAGGTGTTTTGGGCGAAATTTGGGAAGACCGGGTTTCCTATGAAATTTGCGTATTGCTAATGGTTGATTGCGTGGGCAAGTGGTGGTAATATGGCTTCGCATATAGCATGTTTGGTTCGCTACTTGGGGGAGCTTGGCTCGCGTATACCAGCCAAGCTGCACAGGGACGGGCTCAAGACATGTAACAACTTGTTTCGTTCATTAAATCTGGAGAACCAGGCTGGGAATATCATTTTATTTGGTTCACTGCACTAGAATACGTCATTAAATTGAAATGAAAATAGTACTAAGAGAATATTTACTTTGTTTAAATCGACTGCATACTAATTAATTTTATCACGTTAAGTCTTAATCTATTTCGAAATATACTAATATACCATAAAACATACTAATTGTTGGTTGATATCATATTTGCTTGCTAATATATTGCATCACTGGAACCAGTAGCTATCGTCCTGTTCGCTTGGGCTTGTTTGACTGATAAGTCATGACTGAAAGTACTATTAGCTGATTTGGTGTGAGAAAAAAATACTATTCGTTGGCTGAAAAAGTACGTCTTATAAATCAAACTAAGTCCAAACAAAAGGTGCGAGAAATGTTTCATTTTTGGGCCTTGTTTAGATTGCAAGTTTTTTCACTCTCTCTCCATCATATCAAATTTTTGGACACATACATTGAATATTAAATGTAGATAAAAAAATAACTAATTACACAGTTTGATTATAAATTACGAGATGAATCTTTTGAACCTAGTTAGGCCATGATTGAATAATAATTGTCAAATACAAATGAAAGTGCTATAATACCAAATACCGATTCTTAACTCCAATCTAAACGAGGCCTTGTTTCCAAAAGGCAGACTAAGGGCTGCTTTTGTACGGCGAGACATTAACGGCTTATTTGGTTTGACCTTGCCTGAGGTGCTCCGAGCAGGTACGTCCAGGCGTTGAAAATGGATGTCTGAGTCAGACAACTTTATCGGTCCTTGAACCAAACATGCCATCAAATTCGGTGAGTACGCACGTAAGAGGTTGTTTGGTTTCGCTCTAGTGGCTCTCCGATATTTAAATATATGTATGGAGTATTAAATATAGATTAATTATGAAACTAAATACATAGATTAAGATAATTTGTAAGACGAATTTTTAAGTCTAATTAGTCTATGATTTGACAATGTGGTCCTACAATAAACATGTGCTAATGACAAATTAATTAGGCTTAATAAATTCGTCTCACGAATCACTGACGGATTCTATAATTTATTTTTTTATTAGTATCCGAACACCTTATGTGACATCCGATGAAACACCTTTTAAACTTTAGTCCGTGCATCACCCTGCCCTTTGGTAGGGCCATGCATAGGGCTCGAGGGCTCTAGGCATCTCTAATAATGTCTTACGAGATAGCTTCAATCATATTATTTTATATTTTAATAAAAGAGAGAAAAATGCAGCTGCTGAATTCTTGATAGCTAGTCTCACGTACATAGTCTAAAATTATGTGAAAGTATGATATGAAACTATATGTTATGACCTAGTGCGTAAAAGCTAATATTTATTAGAAAAGTTCTCTTAGTCCATGATTTGACAATGTGATCCTACAGTAAACATGTGCTAATGACAAATTAATTAGGCTTAATAAATTCGTCTCGCGGATCCATAATTTGTTTTTTTTTATTAGTATCCAAACACCCTATGTAACATCCAATGAGACACATCTTAAATTTTAGTCCGTGCACCCAAACACCGCCTAAGTAACCACACCATTTGTATTTGCTGCACCTGAAGCCCTTTGGTAGGGTTCATGCATAGGGCTCCAGGGCTGTAGGCATCTCTAATAATGTCTTACGAGATAGTTTCAATCATATTATTTTATATTTTAATAAAAGAGAGAAAAGTGCAGCTGCTGAATTCTTGATAGCTAGTCTCACGTACATAGTCTAAAATTATGTGAAAGTATGATATGAAACTATATGTTATGACCTAGTGCGTAAAAGCTAATATTTATTAGAAAAGTTCTCTTAGTCCATGATTTGACAATGTGGTCCTATAGTAAACATGTGCTAATGACAAATTAATTAGGCTTAATAAATTCGTCTCACGGATCACTGATGGATTCTATAATTTGTTTTTTTATTAGTATCCGAACACCCTATATAACATCCGATGAGACACATCTTAAACTTTAGTCCGTGCATCCAAACACCACCTAAGTAACCACACCATTTGTATTTGCTGCACCTGAAGCCCTTTGGTAGGGGCCATGCATAGGGCTCCAGGGCTGTAGGCATCTCTAATAATGTCTTATGAGATAGCTCCAATCATATTATTTTATATTTTAATAAAAGAGAGAGAAATGCCGCCGCTGAATTCTTGATAGCTAGTCTCACCTACATAGTCTAAAATTATGTGAAAGTATGATATGAAACTATATGTTATGACCTAGGCCATGTTCGGCTGACCCAAAAAAGTTACTGTGCCGGCTGGAAAACACTGTAGCTGCTGAATTTCTGTGAGAGAAAAATACTGTTCCGGATGAAAAAAGAAGCGGATCAAGCCGGGTTCAAGGTCAGCCGAACAAGGCCCTAGTGCTTAAAAGCTAATATTTATTAGAAAAGTTCTCTTAGTCTATGATTTGACAATGTGATCCTACAGTAAACATGTGCTAATGAAGAAATTAATTAGGCTTAATAAATTCGTCTCGCGGATCACTGACGGATTCTGTAATTTGTTTTTTTATTAGTATCCAAACACCCTATGTGACATCCGATGAGACACCTCTTGAACTTTAGTCTGTGCATCCAAACACCCCCTAAGCAACCACGCCATTTGTATTTGCTGCACCCTGAAGCCCTTTTTGGTAGGGGCCATGCATAGGGCTCGAGGGCTCTAGGCATCTCTAATAATGTCTTATGAGGTAGCTTCAATCATATTATTTTATATTTTAATAAAAGAGAGAGAAATTCAGCTCCTGAATTCTTGATAGCTAGTCTCACGTACATAGTCTAAAATTATGTGAAAGTATGATATGAAACTATATGTTATGACCTAGTGCTTAAAAGCTAATATTTATTAGAAAAGTTCTCTTAAAGCTGAGGCTGCCCTAGGTCGAGAGCCAAACACGCGAGACAGCAGTGACCTCCCAGCACTCGGCACGTGTCACTTTCAAAATCATTGTTTATTTTGCTTTTGAATAACTCTTGTCATCCCCAAGCTTTGAATCGCGAATCCGAGTTTACTTTAGGAACTTCAGACTCTGCACCTTTTCTGCAACCTGGGCTTCAGAATAAGGGCCCGTACTAATTGGGCTTTTATCTAACCGTGCGATCCAATTTGGCGACGCGACTGGTCGAGCACGGCGGAGTCTTGGGCCGGTCCTCCTTTGATCTGCCTGGGCTTATGGCGTCCGCGTCCGCGTCCGCGTCCGCGTCCGTGCAACACTTTTTTGCTTGCGCGCGGCGCGGAATGCCGCGCCACGTCTTTGTGAACACCTTTTTCGTGAAAGTTGTTCCTTGGTTGTTTGGTGGTATAC